ATTGAGGAGGGAAGACTGGGACTGGTTGGGCAAGGAGATTGGAAGCGATGAGACTGAGGCAAGGAGCCAGGGAGGGAGTAGTGGGAGATTGAGATTGGAGGCCAAGGAAGGGAGGCAGACAGGGCCTGGGAACTTGTAACGGGGAAGGAAGAGAGAGATCAGAAAAGGAGCTGGGGGTGGAGGGAACTGGGATTGGCTGGGCAAGGAGACTGGAACTTGGGTGAAAAGCTGAGACTGGGACTGGAACGAAGACTAGGATGGGAAGAAACAGAACTGGGACAGGGACAGCTTGGAGAGGACAGGCGAGAAGGGGTCAAGCTTTGAGGGACTGGCAATGGCAAGAAGAGTCTGTGCTCACTAGAGCATGCTCTCCTGGGACCACACATTGAACAATGAGGATAAAACAAAATATTGAATAAATGCTCATTACGGGTGAACTGAATGACACAGGGGCCCTATGGAGAAAAAAGTAAGTGATCACATGTATTATGCAACAGTCTCTAATTATATGCAAAAGGGGACCAAGTTACGATTGCATAGAAAATCTTAATTTTGGCATTTCCTAACTTTTGAGTGCTTGACTTTGCAACCTTAGTAATGTTCTTTAACAAATATTTTGTGTTTGTAATATGTAGATACATTCTGATCCAAAGCCCACTGGAGTCAATGGAAAGACTCTCATTGACTTCAATGGCTTCTGAATAGGCCGATAATATGCTACACATTTTTATATTTTATAGGAAAAAATATTAAAACAATAGTGTTTTATACAAGTCTTTCAAGACTGTATTTTTGCTCACTTACTTAACTCTTAAGAAAAAAATACAAGTCCCTTTAAAGAAAAACTCATTTAATTAGAATAATCTCAACATCAAGAGTGACAGATAGTGAGAATATTAGAATTGGAGAGAGGTCAGAGAAGGCAGTAGGTGCTGGCACTCTTGTTGACATTATTGTTCCCACATGATCTCGGACATGCAGTGGCAGTGGGTCAGCTCCAGAAGATGTTTTTTTGTCTTGCTTTTAACGTTAACAGATGAAAGTGTAGAACACATGGATAAGGAAAGGTGAATCTACTCCTTCTAGACTCTTGAATGGAGGTTATAAACATGTCAGATAATAGTGTACAGCATAATGATTTATTTGAAATTTAGGAAGACTTTGACAGAGTTCCACATGCCAGATTGTTGCATAATTTAACAGCCACAATAATTCAGCATGGAACACAGGAATGCATAATTGTTTAAAGAGCTGTGAATAAATACAGCAGATGAAAGGAGCTTGGTACAAATGGCAACTTTTATGGTAGTGAAAAATACCCTATATTCCACATTTCCCTAGACTGCTCTTCTAAAAAGTTGGCCTATCAGTTTCAATATAGTGACCACTCAGCACCAAGTCATTAAATGTCTATCCAAAGGACCGTACAAAAGATCTTCTCCCAGATATACTGTGTACAATTTAATGTACATAAGGTGATAATTTATCATAGAGCCTGAGGTTCCTACAGTAAACTAATCCAAACTGCTGATGATGCACTCAATCAGAGTGAGTGATGAACACAAATACAGCAGCAAGTGAAGTTCAAAAGGATACAGATTTGTATGATCAACGAGCTGCCAGATGACAAATGAAATGTAATGTTGAAATAATCAAACCAAGTATAAAATAAATATGAATGAACTAGCACACAAGAGCCTCATAAGGGAGCTTGAGATGCCAGTGGATGCCTCTTTGAACACAACACTAGACCTCCGAACTACTGTGTTTACTATCCACATTTAACATGAGAAGTCACTGATAACACAGAAAGGTGTTCTAGGCTTGTAGCAATAAACCTTTCCAATAAATGAAATTCAGTGATACAAAATCATACAAACAACACATCCACTCCAAGTACTCGCATACGAAACAACATTTACAGATAAAATCCCACCCAAAATCTAAACTAATATTACAAGTTACTGTCCTCGGTGGTGACTGAATGCTGAAACTAACTCAACAAATCCAACTCCACAAGCTTATGCAGTTCAGAAACATTATCAGAGAGAGTGATGCTGACCAAGCCTCTCCACTGTCTGGTAGTCATAGTGGCGAACTAATAGCCTTTCAAGACCGAGAAAAGGTATCACCACTTATTAGTGAGGGTTGCTACCATTCAGTGCCCATGCATAGCCTCAACTCACATTGATGCTAGAGCACAACAACCTTGCCGGCATGAAAGGACATTCAACATCAGGTCATTTGTGGGAAAGGAGCCAGTACATGCCTCATCTCACTGAAAAGTGACCCCTCTGAGTAATATAGGAGCGGCATTGCTTTATGGATAATTCTTATCTGATGAAAGCTCAAAAGTGGGGGTCTTTAAGAAGTGTGGGAAAAAATAAGGGACGCTCAGGACTTCCAAAGAGACAGAGAACTCCACTAGGGAAGAAAGTGGTTTTATTAAATGATGTTAGGTACTTAAATAACAGCTTTGTTTTTTCTAGTATCCCCAAGTTCACATTTACAGATTTTAATCTCAGTTATTCATCACATCCGATATAAATATGTTTGTGGGGGTTTTGTATATGGGGTGCTATAATATAAAAATATTGAGAAGTTGACAAAATTAAGTCTCTATTATAAAAATGTGTTTGAAAAATCTCACAAAATTAAAAACAGTGCCCATCTTTTGAAGCTTTACAGAATAATATATTTTCATTCTATTGTTTCTTGATTAAAATTTCATCATGGAGGTCCAACATTATAATTCAATGGCCTTTCACAAGCATATCTGAAGAAACAGGCCAGTTACTCGTGATAGGTTAAAACCAATGTATGCTGTGAAAATCAGTACTTCATACTGTAATTCCGCCTGCTCTCTATCCCCTCACAAATGGTTTGCTGGATACCAGGGTCATATAGCTCTCTATGCTATGGTAAAAAGCAACAGAGGGTCCTGTGGCACCTTTGAGACTAACAGAAGTACTGGGAGCATAAGCTTTCGTGGGTAAGAACCTCACTTCTTCAGTTGAGACTTCTGTTAGTCTCAAAGGTGCCACAGGACCCTCTGTTGCTTTTTACAGATTCAGACTAACACGGCTACCCCTCTGATACTATGCTATGGTAGTTGCTTTAGTGTGCATTCATTGTTCATATGTATCTAACAAAAAGCTCTTTTGTCTTTATCATCTTTTTTTCTAATCCATTTTAGCAAAATCAATTGCTTTTTTGATAACTAAAGGATTTTTGTTGAGGTATTATGAGAAAGAAAACACATACCTGGTGATGGTATGCAATTATGATAAGAAAAAATAAAGGGATAAGGAGAAAAGAAAGGAGCTAGCCTGGCCCTTCCCTCTCCGTACCCCCCAGTGCTTGTTACCATCATCACTGAGTAATACCTTGATTTCAATGGCAATACATTCACTGTAAATGGTTAATCAATTTGATTTATGTTGCATGGACTGTTGTGATACTAAAGCTTTTTACATTCTTCATCATTACTACATTGTTCTCCAACATGGATGCCAAGGTAACATTTTTTGACAATGCATTGCCAAAGTTTAAAACTTTAGTTCTGAAGATGTTTGAGTGGAGAAAACTTTCTGCATGGGCAGGCTTCGATGGGGAATATTTTCAATTACAAATTTTAAATGTCAAGAGTCTAGCACTTTAAATTTCTATATTAACAGGGAAAAATTTCTGGGTGAATTCCTGGCTCCTTTGGGACAATGGCAAAAGTTCCAATGACTTTAATAGGGTGAGGATTTCGCCCTTTATGTGCACAGGTTTGTGCCTGGAAACCCTTCCAGATGAAGGCCTATTGTCTGGGGTAGAAGATAAGGCCAGTGACCTGAAAAGAGCCTTCTGGCTCCCGTGACCCAGTTATCTTCCAAAGCTTGATTGATCAAAGTCCTGCAAACTTTCTAGAAAAGCGACATTTCCTCAATGAGATTCTTTTCATTGTATATCACATTAAATACATATTTATATGACATAACCAGTGTATTTATTTAACTTTTATTTTATATTTTATCTTTCAATCCATTTTGGTTAGAGGTAGAATTACTGTGTTAAAATATGACCTGATCCCATATGTAGTTTATTTAAATTTCAAAATGAAAAGCTTACTAAGAACAGATAAGATTGATTGCTCTTTCCATCTTAGCATAATTGTATTTCAGGTGAACATCAATTTACTTTAAAGGACATTTCTAAGTAGCAGACTGCATCATACATAATTCATCAATCACAGTTGCCTGTAACATGATTTACTTAAACAGATTTCTTAACAGATTTCTTATTACTTAAACAGAAATAAAGGGAGTTGATTTTTTTTATGTTTGGTTTGTTTTAAAATGGTTTATGAAATATAACGGGATTCTGAATTACTGCTGAAAAAGTTCATCCTTGGTAACCAGCACAGTGAATTTCTCTCTCTCTCTTTGAACAGAAGTGTTATTTCTTTAAACCTCTTTTAAAAGGCAGAGGGAGTTTTCAAAATATAATTAAGGCAAAGAGCACTCCATGTTCATCAAAGGTAAAAGTAAAACTCCAGGGTTTTGATGGGGCAGGGGGAAGTATTTATCTGTAAAATATGATTAGCTTCGCAGCCACATATTTTCTAGTGAGATTGACATAGTTCATTTTTATTTTATATTAAAATTTAAATGTAATTGAAGCAAAGTGGCTTTTGCCTCAGCAAGCTCTTTCAGTGATGGATAATCAAGTTCTTACATATCTGAAAATGATTTCCACTTGGTGATGTATACCAAATGAAAGTGAAACTGTGTGGCACTTGACACACTGAGAATTCTTTCATTTGCTGGAGTGATGGTTCTGATGTTATACAAACCAATGCTTCCTATCAAATTTAGTTTCAGGGACATGATGATGCCATAATCATTGAGAACTTTAAAAAGAGAAACACTGGCACAAATACTTGCTTAAAAACAAACAAAAAATAGCCAAAGGTTACAGATACACATAAAAAAGACAGAATGCTTTCTACTTACTTGTAAGCCCATCTGAAATACAGAGTGACCCATAAAATTAGCCAACATTCGAATTAAAGCTGCACCCTATGGGAGACAACAGAGAAAAGTAAGTTATTGGGCTGCTTTTTCCAAACCAGTGATATAAATTATGATGAAATATTCAATTTAATCTATTATTATCCTATTTTAAAAATGTATTTCTTTAATGATGATGTTTAAATCTACAAGAAAAGTGTTACTAAGTACTTGATCAATAGAATCTTAAAAATGTCTCAACACACACACACACACACACACCCCTACCTGCTGGTTGGAAGGAAGGAAGAAAGGAGAGGAAAGTTCATGCAACTGCCAGACAGAGGAAATTGTGATTTGGAAGGGGATTGTTACTATTAATTACCCATATGCATATAGCAAACGAGGCTGAATGCTATAAAGCACATCATTTCCGCAGCTGGAGCAGTATCTACTTACACATCTCAAGCAAAGACATACAAATGTACATTCTGCTGTCCATTATACCGTTACAATCATGTGAAGTATCATAGACTCATAGATTTTAAGGCCAGAAGGGACCATTGTGATTATCTAGTCTGACCTCCTGCACATTGTAGGCCACAGAACCTCATTCACCCCCTCCTCTAGTAGCACTGTAACCTTTGGCTGATTTAAAGACTTCAAAAGTTACAGGGAATCCATTATTTACTCTAGTTTAAGCCAGCAAGTGACCCAGGCCTCATGCTGCAAAGGAAGATGAAAACCCCCTAAGGTCTCTGCCAATCTGACCTGGAGGAAAATTCCTTCCTGATCCCAACTATGGCAACCAGTTGAACCCTGAGCATGTCAGCAAATCCCACCAGCCAGACACTTGGGAAAGAATTTTCTGTAGTAACTCAGAGCCCTCCTCATCGCTCATCATACCATCCCCTCCATAAACTTATAAAACTCAGGTTTGAAGCGAGTTAGGTTTTTTGCCCCACTGCTCCCATTGGGAGGCTGTTCCAGAACTTCACTACTCCAATGATTAGAAACCTTCATCTAATTTTAAGCCTAAACTTGTTGATGGCCAGTTTATATCCATTTGTTCTTGTGTCAACATTGGCACTTAAATAACTCCTCTCCCTCCCTGATATTTATCCTTCTGATGTATTTACAGAGAGCGATCATATCTCCCCTCAGCCTTCTTTTGATTAGGCTAAACAAGCCAAACTCCTTGAGTATCCTCTCGTAAGGTAGGTATTCCATTCCTCTGATCATCCTAGTAGCCCTTCTCTGCACCTGCTCCAATTTGAATTAATCTTTCTTAAACATAGGAGAGCATAATTGCGCACGGTATTCCAGAAAAATCCAACCAAACTCTACAAGGATTTCCAACCTCCTTTTTGCAGACCTAGAAGACTAGACCACAGTTGCTGCATATTCTTCCTCTTCCCTGATGCCTTGTTTCCAGCAGAAATACCTTTGCAGTTATCTGATGGATTTGGCTATAGTATCTCATTTTGCTGTTCAATTTCAGGAGAACCTTCAGCCTTCCAACGCTGCAACTCAAAATACTGTATATAGTGCTGATCACTGTACCACAGGGAGAATACTCTTGACTTGGAGAGAGGGCACTAGAAGATAGCTCAAAAATGATATTAGATTTCAACAAATAAGTTACAAAGGAAGGCTCAGGAAGTTGAATTAGTTCTCACTGAAAAAGAGAAAAAAATCATAGATTCATAGATGTGCAGAGTTGTGCATTTAGTCTGACCTCCTGCTTAATACAGTCCATAGAACTCGCACCCAGTAATTTCAGCATCAAGGCCACAGCTTCCACAGCTTTTAGAAAGCCTTGATTTAAAGACTTTCAAGAATCCACCACAACCAGGGTAAGTAAAAATCAATGATTTCAAAAATACAGATGGTGAGAATTAAAAAGAATGAGTTGATTAAGTAACTGAAGGGAGAAAAAGTAGAAATGAATATAAGAGATACCAGGAATTGTTTCTAAGAAGAAGTGGATGGTTGATGAATTAAAAACCAACAGTTGTATTAGGTTATATTTCTTATTAATTATTATAATTATTTGTTTTATTGTAGTGCCCAATCTCAGTTAGGAGCCTACTATGTATGGAACTATACAAACACATAGTAAGAGACAGTACCGGCCCTGGAGAGTTTACACTCTAAACAGACAAGACAAGAGGGTGGGAGGAAGGACGCATTATTATCCCCATTTTACAGATGGCAACTGATCCACCAAAAAAGTAAGTAACTCAGACAAGGTCACACAGAGAATCAGTAGGAGAGCCAGGAATGGATCCCAGATCTTCATCCAGCCCCTTAATGACAAGGCCATGCTTCCTCTTGTTACATGTCCTTCCCCCTCTGTATAGTAAGATTCCGGGATTGTCATACTCTGTATGTCACTCTGAAGCCTACTGCATCTGTAGAATCAGTGAGAAGCAATGGAAACAGCTACAGGCATGGCTGAGAGCTTTTTTTGTTCAGAATATCACCAGGTTCCATCATCACTGGGATTTCCTGTCTGTTACCATCCAATTTTTAAGTTCTCAGCAATTTTGGTTTTATGAATTACACCTGGCTGGTGTTCAGCTACAAGAAGTGATGTATCTATGCCACACCAAGAGTCCTAGACCACTGTGATACCACAGGTAACAGCCAATCTCCACTCTGACTCTAAAGCTAATGGTGGGGAAAGGAAGGATATGAGGGGGAGGGAGAAGGGGGTACACAGAGAACCCCCAGAGCAGGGGGACAATGGGAGACCCTGTACTGGTGGGAAAGGAGGAATGAGAGGTATACTGAATGTATAATTTTCACTTCCCCTCATTCCAGCAAGCAATGAACTGGACAGTGGATCTACACAGATTTGTACCTTCTGCGAACTCCTGTAATCCAGACCTAGACCTCCCTGCAAGTCCGTAAATCAGAGACACAGATGATTGAATCCATGCTACTGGACAGGACTCTCTTTGGAACCTGCCAGCATTACCCTTTGAATGACCTGACAGACTCACAGGCACTGTGCTCCACCATAGCACTCCCAGAGCTGAGTGTGCCACTTCTGCAGCTCTGCCAACCTTTGCCCATTTGAGGAATGACATATGGAGTCTAGAGCAGTGAACTCGACTCTCTTTGCAGGGCAAAATGGCCATTTATTGATGATTTAAGTGCTTTACTCCAGGCAGTGGATGACTTGGTTCCTTGTCAAGCTGTAAAACGAATCGGTTTAACAGGTCTAGTGGGAAAAAAATCCTTTCTATTCATAAAAATGTATCTATTCTCTTGACAGTAAATAACTTGACTCAAGTTAAATCAGGAAAGAAAACACTTATCCTGTTTGAATGAATGCTTCTTCACTCAGTGCGCTTGGTAGGCACTTTCCAAATACAAGCAAAGACATACAACCTTGCCCCTGAGAGATTAAACTCTAAATAAGACAAAACTGACAGGTAGATGGATGGAGGGTAAAAAGGAAGAACAATCTTTAAGTAAGATGATCAGGTGCTATATATGTTGCTATTGCTTCTACATGGACAGTCAAACCAAATGTGTTAGCCTAAGTATCTTAACCATTCAATAGCTGAAGAAAGGGCATTATGCAAGTCCATGAGGGAACCAACAAGCCCTTGCTGATAGATTCAGCCTGAAAGTACATGGTCTACATCTTCTAACTGGCCACAGTGGCAAAGGGAAAAGTCACAAAGACACCACTTACAGTCATTAGTGGCACATCTAATCACCCCACCTCTCAAGTGATTGAGCTTTACCCAAAGATGGCATGGAAGGTCGAAACCAGGGGACTGGACTGTTACAAGATAGTCATTGGCTATATTTGAAGCTTTGTTCTTGTTACCGAGTATGCCACTTGAAGATAACAAAAAAATCTCTTAGGGGAATTGTCCAAATAGGTACTTTGAGCTAAAATGCACCAGGTGGATTAAACACATCTTTCAAAAAGGATAGAGATGGCACATTTTGCAACTTCAGGAGCAAATTCTGTAAGGAAACTTGCTGCTTGATGCCAGGAAAGACGATATTGGACAGGACCAATAGCCAGCCCAGATTGATCACCCTCATGGTACCTGTTATTATAAACATATTTTCATTCAGTTGAGTGTCTACTAGTCCTCTCTGAAAACAGCTGAGCCACACCAGGGAGCAATACTCTGTGACAGAATAGTACAAGGCAAACCAGAATTTCTTAGTATCTGCACACTGGCTCCCCGGGTAGATTCAGCAAGTTTCTTGATCATGTTGTTTCTTGTCTTTATTTTAAGGGAAGTCTTGGTAAGTGAAGGTATGGTCCAGCGTGACACCTAGATACACAGACTTGGATCATGATCCAGTCTGTGTCTATTCAGGAAGGTAAGCTGTTGGTTGGCCTTTGTGTGCTATAGATGGAAGCAGCTGGAAACTGTTTTTTGGTAGTAGGTTTAAGTGTCCATCTTGGCCAACTCTTTCGTGTCATTGCCAGGTAGTGATGGGCCACATCCTGATAATACAAGTTTTAATGGCACAATGGCTTTATATAATAGGCCAGATTCTCAGCTAGAGTAAATCACCAGAACTCCATCAACTCCACGGCAGTCAGAGCTATGCCAGCTTATACCAGCTCAGGCTTTGGGCATATATGTTACTGGACAAAAACAATTTTTTTTTAGATGGAGTGAAGGTTGAGAACATGTATCATTAATTTAAGAGTAAAAAAAATACATGGATGTTGTATTTATTTCAAAACTAAGTATTATAAATCCAGAAAATTCAGGGTTAAGGTTACACTTAACAGAAATCAAAACATATTAAAGTAAGAAATGCATAGTTAAGACACTCAAGCAACCTTACTCTACCTTGTACTGACATCATGAAATAATCCCATGGTCTTTTAAGTGTTTGTGGTCCCAGATTATATTAAACTGATTTTTAAAATCACAATAGAGATTCATGATAACTTGTCTCTACCTAGCATCACTGCAGGACAGAGTTAAGGTTGTTAATTTAATTCCTTTAACTTCTTAAATAACCTAGATTTTAATTAATTTTAATTCATAAACAAATTAATAGATTTACTTGCAAAT